CAAGTACGGGAGGCTTTATTTAGGGGAACGGGGTTCGAAAAGGTAAAACGACCGGTCGGGTCGTTATAGAGCATCTCCAAACTTTACTAAGTACCTTGTAACTAATTTCCTAGTTTGTACACAAGCCCCCCAATCTGAGTCACAGTAGGCCAGTAACTGATTGGTGTTCTGAGCAGGCATGAACAAGCCCAGACCTGCTGCTTCTTTGACATATCTCACGACTCTAAGGGAAGCTTCCATGTGTGAGACCTTTGGTCTGTGCATAAACTGACGTAGCACTTGAACAACAAATGCTAAGTCAAGTGGTGTCATAGTGAGATAGAGTAGTCTTCCTACAAGTCTCTGATAAGGTCCTGGATCCTTGAGGAGATCCTCTTGAGTGCCCTTCTGAACAGACTTATCATATTCCTCATAAGTGAGGTTTTGGTTGAACTCTAGAGGAGTACCTGCAGGTTTTGCTCCCCCGAACCCTGATTCACCAATAAGCTCTAAGGCATACTTCCTTTGACACATAACAATTCCTTCTCTGGACCTTGCAAACTCAATGCCAAGAAAGAATCTCAGTTCTCCCAAGTCTTTCATTTTGAACTTGGTTGGTAAGTCTTTCCTTGTCTAAGTTAGCAGCTGTTGGCTACTGCTTGTTGTTGATACCCAATTATTCCCTCATATTTTCCATATATATATATATATATATATATATATCCAATAATTATCCTCCAAATTATTTTTGTGATGATTTAATCATCTAAACTCGTCATTTATACCCATATTAGGTTTTAAATATTTTTAGTACATTTGTTATAATTACATTTGCATTTTTAAGGCTAAATTGCACATTTTGCAATAATAGCCCATATGTAATTATATTTATGCTAAAAATAACCTTTTATATTTTTATAATTTTAAATAATTGTTTTAATCATTTTTATGCACAAATGATATTTCTTTATTTATTTATTATTTTTATAAATTATTTATTTGTTAAAATTGAGTATTGAGATTCTAAGCCCGCCACCTCTCCAAAATCCTCCCCTAATCCCGTTCCTAATGGGATTTTCCTCCCATTTCGACATATTTCTTTTATTGGGTGATTCTTTACGGAATTACCTAGTACTTGCCTAAACATGGAAAGTATCCCTACTTTTATTTTGTCCTAATCAATCTTCATCTCTTGAATCTGGACGATATTAAGTCCACACACGTTATTTTGCACCATGTGAGCCCGATCTGTTCAGATCTTGCTTAACCCTAAGATTAGGGTTTACAAATCCTCTTTGATTTGAACCAAAGCTGGTTCAAGCTTTGATTTTGAGTATTATCTCGCCATTATTCACCCTATTATGTGAGAATCTGCCTATTTATGTCGATTTCTTTTACTTACCCTAAATTAGGGTTTCAGATCCTTTTTAATCGAACCAAATGTGGTTTGATTCTGTGTTCTTTTCAAATAATCTCCTGTCTATGTTCATTTTATGCAATATGTGATTATTTTGTCCTTATTTTTCTGCTGATTTTGTGTGGTTTGCCAAAAACTAGGGTTTTGAATTTTTCTTTTCGTATTGATTTAGATACCTGCCTTTTAGTGTTGAATTAATTACTTTTCATGTTTATGTGTTTAATTCCTACAGTATTTAAACCCCTCACCACTCCCCTTTGATTAAGTTCGAAAAAATCCTTAAGAACACAAAACTAAGGCTGTTTGCTTCCACTCTTGAATAATCTTGTTATGTATTCTGATTCCTGGCCGGCTAAAAGCCAAGGGCAGAAATTTCCAAGTTCTTGCTCTTGTTTGGTGATATTTACCATACTGTTGAATTCCTTCTTCCTTGCTTCATCTTAACTGGTGAGTTACCATGCCTTTACCATGTCATTCTGATTATCTGCCATTTCATTTATGTGTTACTTCAATTAAACTATGCTATCCTAAATGCTATTACATTTGAGACATGCTTAAATCTACTGTGAGTTTGTTAGTTCGATTTTACTTAGCCATATGTCACTGATAACTATCTTTTTAAGTTTAATTCTGTTATAATCCTGCTCTTTGAACATGCTCTCATATCTCCTTCTATGGACTAGTTAACTATGTATAGATGTATGCATTAATAGAATTACAAGTCTGTTTGCTGAATCTGCTATAATGTGGCCTGTTTGATCTTGTTTCATCATATTTTGACACCTCTAGTAACTGCCCTAATTAGTTCCTAACATGTCATGATCTATTGCTAATTGGTTTCTTCTTATGACACTAGTTTCTGCACTTAGCCTAATCTGGATCCTCTTTTATCACTATAAATCTATTTTTGTGACTTTTGATTGACTTCATTTCCTGAAAACTTGACTAAGTCTGCCTAAGTTCAAGCATGTCTGTTATTTGTGTGTATATGCTCAATTTGGATTCTGTACTTCAGTGAAATCCGTTGACTCCATTCTATTCCTTTACTATCTGGTCCTTCTGAATTCTTATTCTTAGCCGGCTGAAAGCCAAGGCTATTTAGGTTCTGTCCTTTGGCCTCCCTAGTGTGAGCGTTGCTCAGGGTTCATGTGAGACCCTTGTGAAATCTGACGCACTAGAACCTAGTCCCTAGTCTTTTCCCTGAACTTTTTCTGATCAATCTCTCTAGTATGAGCACTGCTCAGGGTTCATGTGAGACCCTTGTTAACTCTGACGCACTAGGACTTGGGCTCTGCCTTGATATATGAGTGAATCACTCAACAACTGGTTATTTTGTATCTATGAGCTATTGTGAGTTGAAGGCCTGGCCTGTCCAGATGTATTTGGGCCTGCTGTAGGCTCCCTATAATTATACTTATTCTGTAATTCATTACATTAAATTCTGGTATGTAATAATTATTTGTAATAACAATTTTGGGGTATTACTGAAATTGGGAAGGGGTTCTAGCTTATATTTGCAACAAGTTGGGCAGAAATCCTACCTATAGGTCCAATAATGTGTTATTAAATGTAGTATGTTAGAAATCATGTCTATAGGTATTTTGTCATGTTTAGTCATCATATACGGGCAGCCCTGCCTATAGGTTCAATGCTTGGTTCAATTATGTTCTGTTTTTGCTTGCTAGAGACCATGCCTACAGGAAATAGGTGATTTGATATGTGTGCAAAATCCTCGTTTACATACCGTTCTGTTCACAAATTATAGAAATCATGTCTATAGGATCAAAAAAATTGGATCAAATTATAGAAAGCATGCCTATAGGTTTGAATCAACCTAATTATCATTTCTGCCCATTTGTTCATGAGTTTTCAAACATTGTGTTGTTACCCTCACTAGAAAACATGCCTATAAGATTAAAACAGATAATTCTGGATATGTTTCTATGATTGCCACTATTTATTATCGCATGAAACGCCTAGATATAATGCTAGTAGGTTTAATCTCATTACGCTAAAATCAGTAGGCAAATTTATATAGGTCCTGGTAATCGTATTAAGAAACTGGCTTTAAGTGCGTAAGCATATGATCATTCGTTCGGAACCACATAGAGATCCTGGCTATAGGATTCTGCAATTAATAAAAATCTGTCAATGTTAACCAGTTTGGCATGCATTTATTGTCTAATTGCGGAGGCCAACTTGAGCCCTTACTTGCTTATAAGTGAAAGTCCAATGTGTTCTGTATGTCGCCTAGTTTTTGACATTTTTGAGCAGCCTAAGTTAAAGTCTAGAACCACCCTGAGATAGAGGTCTAAATTCCTCCTGGACTATAAGCATGGGACGGGTAGTGCACGCGTAGGACACGACTTAGAATTGACTAGTGCGCTTCAGGTAAGCAACTTAAAGACAGTAATTGGGTAGCAGGAGATAATAGTCTGTGCCCGCTGAATAATATGAGTAACAACCCATCTCGAGGGAGTTACGAAGTATTATTTATGTTGCACGGAGTGATCCTTTAGGCTAAAAATCTTAGGACCCCCCTCCCACCTTGTCTTTCAATCGATTACTCATGTTTAGTAATTCTTTATTTCTTAGCTTTGATCACATAGACTAATTCATATAACTGAGTTCGGCCAGGACCCACAGTTGTGGACCTCGAAGAGTGCCTAACACCTTCTCTTCGAGGTAATTTCGAGCCCTTAACCGATCTTTGGTGGCGCAAACTGGTTAGACAGAGTTATTTGCAAATAGGTACCCTAACGCACCTTAATCCGTTAGGTGGCGACTCTCTCTTTTAACACCTTCCTTAAAAGAGTTGTCACGTGTCGAAACCCGATTTCGCGAGAAAAAGGGGCACGACACCTATAATCAATAGGTCATCAACATATACTAGTATTATAGTAATATGACAGCCTGCCTTCTTAGTGAAAAGGGAGTGGTCATAATGACTTTGTTAAAACCCCATCTAAACTAGAGCTTCTGTAAGCTTTTTGTTCCATTGTCTTGGTGCTTGTTTGAGCCTATACAAGGACTTATGTATTTTGTAGACCTTCAGATTCCCCGCCCCCCCTGTCTGGCAAACCCCTGAGGACGCTGCATATAGACTTCTTCTAAAAGATCACCATTCAAGAAAGAATTATGAACATCCATTTGGTAGATGAACCAGCCTTTGGATGCTGCCAGGGCCACTATTGATCTAACTGTCACCATCTTTGCCACATGTGAGAAGGTCTTTGTATAATCCAGTCCCTCCTTTTGACTGTAGCCTTTAGCTACCAATCTAACTTTATATCTCTCTATCTCCCCTAAAGCCCGGTACTTGATCTTGAATATCCATTTGCTACCAATAGGGATCTTGTCGGGGGGAAGATCAACAATCTCCATGTGTGATTAGCTTCTAGAGCAGCAATTTCAAGTTGCATAGCTTCTACCCATTTTGGACGCAAAGTAGCCTCTTTGAAAGTCTGAGGCTCTTTGATAGCTGTATATGCTAATAGAGCCTGCTTGTAAGGCTGTTTAATAGCATCATAGGACACATAGGAACTTAGGAAGCCATAGGATATTGACAAGATTTGTTCTTGACAAGAATCACATAATCCTGCATCTAGGCAGGTTGCTTCCTTTCTCTAGTGGACTTTCTTAACTCCTGAGGAGGTGGAGTCTCAGAAGGTTGATCATGAGAATCTGAGGTTGGAGCATTAAACTCAGTAGGTGAGGAAGTGGCACTATACTGATGTTCTTCATTAGGGACATAAGCAATGGCATAAGGTAGTTCTTGACAAGGAGCAGAAGGATGTGAGGAAGCATCTTGTGAGTAGACCTCTCCAGCTGGTAGCAAGTCAAGAATAGGAAATGTAGGGATACCAATATTGTCACGACCCCAGTTCGCCCTCCGTGAACTATCGTGACGGCACCTAGTCTCTACAACTAGGTAAGCCTAACAAATGCGAAAAACAACTAATCTTGCGGAATAAATAATCAAAAGCCGAATAACTGAAAGAAATAGTATCTAAATGCTGCTTGGCATATACACGCAATTTTTCAAAAGCTGATACACTATCCCAAAACCCGGAAACTCACAGATCCACAAGCTGAGAAAACACTACATAGCTCTAATCTCCGGATTGTCTAATCAAGAACATAAAGTACAGAAGGGCTAAATACTAGATGCAGGAATAGAAAGAGACTCCTCGGTCTGCAGACGCGACATATATACCTCGAAGTCCCGTAGAATCGCCTCGCCTCAAGAATGGTAAGCCTAAGTAGAGGTACCTGGATCTGCACATAAAAAACATGCGCAGGAAGGGCATGAGTACACCACAGCGGTACTCAGTAAGTGCCAAGCCTAACCTCGGTTGGGTAGTGACGAGGAAGGTCAGGGCCCTATTGAGGTTAAATAAGATAGTAAGTTTAATAGTGTGAAATAAACAATGTAAATAAGTAACACAAGATATAAAGGACAACAACAACTATCACAGAGACAAGTAAAACACAGCAAGAGAATACAGCTCAGCTCCAAGATAACAACCGGGGATCTCCCAGGATACCGTCCTGTAATCCCCAAATATAAATACCATATCCAGTGGATCTCCCGGGTGCAGTCCCGTAGTCCAACTCATAAATGTGCAGGGGGATCTTCCGGAATGCAATTCCGTAGTCCCAAAGTAAATATACATGGGAGCTCCCGGGATACCGTCCCGTAGTCCCAAAGTAAAAGTGCAGAGGGATCTCCCGGAATACCGTTCCGTAGTCCCAAAGTAAATATGCAGGGGAGCTCCCGAGATACCATCCCGTAGTCCCAAAGTAAATACACAGCAACAACAGGAATTCAATTCAATCAATTTCATATCAAATGTGAAGCAGGTAATCCTAACCTAGCATGGTTCACGTAATACAATTAAGGCAGTTAAGGCAAATAGAGCAATTTAGTCAAGTAGACATGCTTCTCTAGGCTACAGCAGGTTTAGTTTCCAAACAGTGTAAGCAAGAAAAGGAAGAACACAATTTAAGGCTATTTTTAATGGAAAAAAAATCGGATTTCCAACAATTTGCACAAGTACGCGCTCATCACCTCACGTACGAGGCATTTCAATTACCACAATATCAATCCTAAGGGGAAAAGGTCCCCCACACAAGGTTAGACAAGCCACTTACCTCGAACAAGTGCAAGTCAACCTGAAACCACGCCTTTGCCACGAGTATCCGACTCCGAATGGCCAAAATCTATTCAATTTAAATTTCATAATGTAAATAACACCTCAAGTAACTGATTCCACAATTAAATTCTAAGCTAATACGCGAAATTAGGTAAAATGACCAAAACGTCCCTCAGGCCCACGTCTCGGAATCGGATAAAATTTATATTTTCGGAATCCTCACACTCTCACGAGTTCATGCATACCAAAATTACCAAAATCGGACCTCAAATGGTCCCTCAAATCATCACTCAAAGGTCTCCAATACTAAGCCCTAGTTTCCCCAAATTTTCACCCTTAATTTCTATAATTTATAGCTCTAGTCCGTAAAATAATAGCATAGGAACGAGTTTTAGGTCCAAATTCCTTACCTCAATGAAGTTCCCTTGAAATCCCTCTTTCAAATCGTCCCAAAAGCTCCCGAGCCGAGATAAAAATGGTGAAATAAACCTCAAAGTCGCGGAACCCCTTTTAAAATATAATGCCCAACAGTTTTCGCATTAACAAATGTCGTATTTGCGGTCCCGCTTCTGCGGAACAAATGTCGCATCTGCGATTTCCCGCTTAAAGGCAAAATCCGCATCTGCGGCCCTTTACCCGCAGGTGCGGTACCGCTTCTGCGGAAAATATACCGCATCTGCGGTTCCTGAAGGGATGGCCAAAATTCCGCTTCTGCGGCGCCGCACCTGCGGAACCCAAACCGCAGGTGCGGTTATGACAGCACCAGCAGCTGAAGCTGCAACTTAAACTCTAAAATTTCCTCCGTCAACCATCTGAATTCACCCCGAGGCCCCTGGGACCTCAACCAAAGGCACCAACAAGTCACAAACCACTACCCAAACTTGTACCAATCCTTAAAACACCTAAAACAACATCGAAACCTCGAATTAACCATGGATTTAAGCCTAAGAACTCTAAAATCCTCAAAAATACGCTTTCGATCAAAAAGTCTATCAAACCTCGTCCGAATGACCTGAAATTTTGCACACATGTCACAATCAACACTACGGAGCTACTCCAACTTTCGAAATTCCATTCCGACCCTCGGATCAAAATCTCACTATCGAACCGGAAACTTCAAAATTCGACCTTTCGGCATTTCAAGCCTAAATTAGCTACGGACCTCCAAAATACAATTTGACCACACCCCTAAACTCGAAATCACCTAACGGAGCTAACGGAACCCTTGGATTTCCATTCCGAGGCCGTCTTCACAATGTTCCAACTACGGTCAACTTTCCAACACTTAAGCTCTCATTTAGGGACTAAGCGTCCCAAAACTCTCCGGAACTCAAAACCGAACGTCCCGGCAAATCAAAATAGCAGAAATAAACTTGGGGGAAGTAGTTAATAGGGGATCGGGGCGTAAATTCCAAAAACAACCGGCCGGGTCGTTACAAGCACCCTTTATATATTTGAAGGGAAAGAGATGTTCCTGAAATACTACATGTATGCTCACAAATAAGGACTTGGTGTGCAGACTGTAGAGCTTGTATCTCCTTTGTGTTGAAGAATAACCTAGCAAGACTGCAGGAAGAGCTCTTGGTGCAAACTTATCATTCTCCTTTGGACTGGATGCATAGCAGAAACACCCAAAGACTCTAAGGTGTGTGAGAGAAGGAGGATGCAAATAAAGCATTTCAAAGGGTTTTTTATGTAACACTCTGGAAGGTAGCCTGTTAATAAGGTAAACTGCAGTGCTAACACATTCACCCCAGAACTTTAGAGGAAAAGCTGCTTGAAACTTGAGTGATCTGGCCATTTCAAGGATTGTTCTGTGTTTTCTCTCTACCACTCCATTCTGCTAAGGAGTATAAACACAGGAACTCTGGCGAATAATACCAAGAGAGGAGACCAATTCTTTGAAGTCAGCACTAAAAAATTCACTCCTATTATCAGTCCTAAGAGTTTTAACAGTAGTTGAAAAAGAATTCTGCACAGTGGTTAAGAAGTTTCTGATGACCACTATAGCATCAGACTTTGAATTAATTAAGAATAGCCAAGTATATCTAGCATAGTCATCCACAGTAGTGACAAAGTATCTTTTCCATCATATGTAGGTACCCTATAGGGCCCCCAGATATCACAATGTAGCAGTTCAAATATTGATTTAGTAGCTGTAGTACTCAACTGAAAAGGTAATTGTGATTGCTTTGCTACAGGGCACACCGTACAATGATATGAACCTACATTTTTCAATGCTCTAAGTATATCATGCCTTTTGATTACATCAATAGGAGCATGTCCTAATCTGAGATGCCATAGGTGAGTAGATTCATCACTAATAGACTCAGAACTAAGGTTGGCTGTGTGTGCACATTTATTTAACAGTTGTGATTTCTGGAATGAGTTCCCTTTCAGCAGATAGAGTCCATGCTCTTCCTTACCAATCCCCAGCACATGACCATTGTAGAGGTCCTGAAATATGCAGAAATCAGGGAAGAATGCCACTAAGCACTGTAATTCCTTGGTAAGTTGAGAAACGGACAATAGAGTGTACTTAAAGTCAGGTATAAACAACACATCACTAATATTATGGTCTTTAAGTACTGTAGTATTTCCTGAGTGTGATACTGTCACTACATTTCCTGTTGGTAATTGAACTATGCCTCTTTGATGTTTTGGTAAAACCTGATAATTGTTTAACATCTATAAATTGGATGTCATGTGATTTGAGGCACCCGTGGCTACTATCCAGTTATGATTAAGATACTTGGATAGTAAGGCTATCAGAGTACCTGCAGCAGCAGCCTTGGAAGAGGATCCCTCCTCAGCACTTTTGTTGAGTAGCTGGACAATCTGTTGATATTGTTGTTGTGTGAGATAGGGTGAAGGTGGTGGAGGCTGAGAATAAGTGGCAGATTGAGGCATCATAGACATCATAGGTATTGAGGCATAATAACAGGTTGAGACACTACAATATGATCTCCTCTACCATTTTGACTTGCATGTTGAACTCCAGCCTGCATCTGTGGCCCTTCTCCATGCTGATTGACATCAGCACTAGCATGATTAGCATATGGACCAGGGGTTCCTCCTTTCTTCTTAGGTTTAGAATCAGCTGGATAGCCAATTAGCTTATAACAATTTCCCTTAGTATGGCCTTTCTAGTGGCAATATTCATAATGTGCTTGATTTCTCCTTTGTTTGAAATTACCTCCTGAGTTAATAGAGGTTCTATTACTGTAAAGAGCAGTACTCTCCATTGTCTCAGACACTTGAGCTACGTGCGAGAAATTTGCCGAACTCCTTTGACTTTCCTGATCCACCAGTAGAGAGTAGGCCTTGTTGATGCTAAGAATTGGGGACATAATCATAATTTGGTTTCTGGACTGTGAGTATGACTCATTTAGGCCCATAAGAAATTGCAGAAGCCTGTGTTGTTCAAAGTGCTGAGCATACTTCTTCAATTCTGGACATGGACAACCAGGGTAGGGCATAAGAGCATCAAACTCATACCACAGATCCCTCAGTTTCAAAATGTAATCAAATATGGTCATGGTTCCTTGAGTCAATGTATGAATTTCTCTATGGAGATAGAGAACTCTTGACTCATTCACTTTATCAAATCTCTCCTTTAGATCCTCCCACACTTTGTGAGCATCAGATGCATACACTACACTACTTAATAGGCCTGGTCTAACTGCATTCATAATCCATGAGAGAACTACAACATTGACTTTCTCCCATTGATCATACAGTTCAGGTGCAAATTTTGATTTAGGAAATCGTTCGTCCACAAAACCTAGTTTACTCTTGCCTAGCAAACCAATCCTTATAGATCTACTCCACAAAGCGTAGTTATCTGATCCAATTAATTGAAGAGAAATCAGAGTACTACCTAGAGTATACGTTGGTTGAAGGAAGAGAGGATGATTGTGATCAATTGTGGGAATATTGACAGTAGCAGCTGTGCCATCACTTGTATCAGCGGTAGTGACATTCACATCATCTCCAATTGCCATTGTTGAGCAGAGTTTCTGACCTAGATTCAACACTTGCAAACCCTAATTTCACGACGCGTCACTAGAAGGCAATTCTACAGGTCTTCTGCAGAATTGAAGCAACACTAGAAATGAAGAGTGAAATTGAATTAGTGATTGAATGTAGATCGAGTCTCAAAGCTCTGATACCATGTTGACTGCCATGGAAATGGCACTTGAGCTAGAACAGAGACGAGCTCGAGAAGAGAGAATGTGATTCTGTAAAAAATGAAAAGCTGAGTCAATCACTGTACACTGAGTGTATATATACACAACTAACCTATAATATTAACTAATTTCTGGAACCTTCTAACTGCTAACTACCTAGCTTAACTGACTAAATAAGATTAACAACCTACTCACGACTAACTTGACTCTAATTACATCAGCTTGTTAGCTTTAACCATAATCAACAATTATAAGAATACAAAACCTAATGAAATTGTTTTAAGCTAATTCTACAAGTATATAAAGCGTGATGTTTCATGTACAACTACTTCAAAACGTATTTTGGTCAAATATGAAAAAATTTCACAATTGTTTTCTCCATTTATTTGCAAGTATCGGCATTAGAGATTATTTCCTACCGAAGGGTAGAACTCTTTCTTAGAATATACGATTAGAAGGATAGAGCAAAGTAAGAAGACAAGTAAATTTAGTGTTTTTTTCTAATTAATGGGAGAAATCCATCCGCAAATCAGAGTATAGAGAAGAATTGAGAATGCAACTGTAATTAGTATTTTCCATTCCTTGTGCGGTTGTGCCTATTCTTTTTTTTTTTTTTGTTTCCCATCTAGTGTTCGGTATCCGCATTGGAGCCCGACTATATCCGGATTCGTGCCGCGTAAGGCCCAATTCGGGGGGAAGCGCTCCCTACCAAGGATTTTTCCGTACACAGGGCTCGAACCCGAGACCTCTGGTTAAGGGAAGAGCAGTCTCATCCACTACACCTATTCTGTTAAAGATTCATTTGAGTTTTGTAGTTGTTTCTACTTACCGTTATTTGTGGAATTGCTCTACTATTCACTATTTTGAGACGGATTTAGGATTTCAACTTTATAGATTTAAATTTGTAATTCTATCATTTTCATTTAATTTAGTGAATTCAAAATCTATTATTATCTTTTAACAAATATACATGATTTAAGCCTAAAATTATGGGCAATGATGTTCACATTATCACGAGCTGTTCTTGGAAAATGTTCAAGTCAGTAAATTAAGTTAGCTAGTATTACCTTAAGAAATATTTGTGTTATTTTTGCATAAAATTAAGTGAAAATAATTGATAAAAATAAGATAAATTGAAAAAACAAGAACAAAAAGTTGGTCCTGCAGTAGGACTGACAATTTAGCCTACCCTTTATTTTTTCTGAAAAAGAATACGGGAATGATCAAAAGAAAATTTATTAATTCTACTGTAAGAACATAATTTATTACTCATATTAAATTAAAAACAAAATTTAATTTTTCTTTTATTACAGAACTACTAATTTCTACTGTAAAAGCTAAAAGCTGAGAGGTATTAGAATCACAGTTTCAGCTCGCTGCTTCTCTATTCAGAAGATATATGCGGCATATCTGAACCCTAGCTATACAAAAATCCAAACATAAACACGTGACCCTCACTCTCTCTCTCTCTCTCTCTCTCTCTCTCTCTACACTTTTCACAGACTTCGGCAGCTCACAGAGCAGCAATGGCGGCGGCGGCGGCTACGGCCACTTCTTTCTCCATCTCCTCCTCCACTTCTTCCGCATCCAAATCCCTAAAGCCTGCTCTTTCCGGTAGCTTAGGGTTCCTTTCTTCTTCGCCCCCATCGCTTAAGCCTCTCAGAGCTAAATCTCTTTCCTGTAATGGCGCTCGCTCTAGCTCCGGCGCGGCTCTTAATGCGCGCATGGTCGCTGCGCCTGCTACTATCAAGGCACCGTTTTCTCTCGATTTTGAAACTTCCGTATTCAAGAAGGAGAAAGTTACTCTTGCCGGTCATGACGAGGTGCATCTTTTCCCCTATCTATATGTATTTCACCTATTACCTCCGTTTCAAAAAGAATGGCGTATTTCTGTGTGTAAATTCTGTTTTTTGGTTATATTTTAGATATCATAAACTACATTGAAAAAGCTCAAATTTGCTCTCCATTACACGTTTGGTCTATTGCTTAGCAAATTGTCTTGTAGTTGACCTTGCCATCAACGGAGCTACTACGTGAAATGTGTGGACTCGTGTTCAAGTTTTTTATAGGAAAAAGGTCCAAATTATCATACAACTTTTTACTGTGTTTAAAATTACTTCAAGTTGGAGCTTGTTACTGTTATCTAAATTTCTAAAGGTGGGGATGATGTTAGACAAAAACTTAGCAGAGGGTAAAGTTGTTCAGTTTCGAATAACAAAGGGACAAATTAATCATTTTCCCTTTTTAAAATATTGTTACAAAAACTTCTTTGAAAAACTCAAACAAACAGTCTCGCATCTTATTTTTGAAAACTATGGTAGAAGTACCATATAATTCAGTTTTTTTGGCGGCGGAAGTATTAGTGTTATTTTTGTTCAACATATCTGTGATGAAAATGTTTATTTTTGTATGGGAAGTTCTTGGCTTTGATGTGTAACGTATATTGTTTGGGATTGTGGTGCAGTATATTGTGAGAGGAGGGAGAGATTTGTTCAAGTTGTTGCCGGATGCATTCAAGGGAATCAAGCAGATTGGAGTCATAGGCTGGGGTTCTCAGGTGAAATTTCTTGGTTTTGTTTTTATTCAATTGATTCAATTTGGGTATCTGTAGGATGTTTCATTCTGAGTGCATAATTGGAATATGAAGTTAATGTGAAGAGAAAGCTTGCTGTTTGAAGCTCAATGAAGTCTGAGGGAATAGTATTTTTGAGTGCGATTTGATACCAAGAGTTTAGTTAACTAAAATTTTTGAAAAAGATTTCTCTTTCTATATGTAGAAGTTTAGAAGTTTAGAATTTCTTTTGTCTTGTTTGCTATTTTTCGAGAGAGGTTCAATCTTTCGGATGTACTTAATAAAAGCAACTTTGAACTACTCATTTTGTTGACTTTTCAGAAATCGTATTTGTTCTCGCCAAGTGTCTGCTCTGCGTGCTATTTCTAGCATATTTGCTGATAATGTTTCTCTATTCTAGTATTTCGTGAGAGGATACTTCGTCCTCCATTCAAAATTGATGTATTTCACACTGTGCTTCCCTTGATAATCGGTTATGTCGGTAGATTTCATCTTTAACATAGAAGGTATTGTTTCACAATATATCTGAATACTGTTTTGACTAGTGGGCTAGTTTAAATATATAGCATTGAATTATTTTAGCTAAAAATGCACTTTTTTTTGGGTTTAGGTGAGATTTGATGTAATTCCTCTCTTCTGTTCATGCTTCATTCCTTCTTTTTTCTACATTTAGCTTATCGATAACTTCTTATTAGTAGGGACCAGCTCAAGCCCAGAATTTGAGGGATTCTCTTGCAGAAGCAAAATCTGATATAGTTGTTAAGGTAACACTTCATTTCCTTCTGGTTTAGAAGTTGAAGTTGAAACTGGATTTAATCTGGTGTGGATACAGATTAATTCCTCATAGTGTTGAAGCTTATGAAGTAAGAATGTTGGTGTTATGCAGATTGGTTTGAGAAAGGGTTCTCGCTCCTTTGCTGAGGCCCGTGCTGCTGGATTTACTGAAGAGAATGGTACCTTAGGAGACATATATGAAACTATCTTTGCCAGTGATCTAGTGCTGCTTTTGATTTCTGATGCGGCTCAGGTTGGCACATTGTTTTAGCCTCATGTTTTTTTCGTGACGACTTGGTAATTCTTTTTATTGAAGGCTGCCCTTGACCTGATAGTTCAATGTCTTGCCTAGGATGCTAGATATCTTGTTTTAGTGCTTCCTACTCTTCCAAAGCACGACAAAACTTAGTTTTCGTATGTCATAAGTCATAACTTTGTGCTTTCTGCTCCCACCACTGGTGATTAGATGTGATTTTGTTGTTTAGTGTATACTTTCACTAAACTTAGTGTTTTCTATGGGGAGATTTTGGACATTCTAAATAGAATTGATACTAGTTTATTTTGGTTAGCAAAAACACAGATTATTACTGAAATCACGTTTTCAAATAATATTTCTCCAATTCATCAATTGATAATCTCGTATACCAACTGATCCTTGAACTTGTTATTCAATGGAGTCTATTTAGCTTCAACAGATATTTGAACTGAAGAGAACTGAAGGATGGAACTTAAAAAAAAAGGATTAAAGACAAACTTTTTTGACACATTTTACCTCAAGAAAATGGAATTATTGATAGCTTATCAGACAGAGTATTCCTTCACCAGGTTTGCAGGTAGTGCCAGTTGCTTCACCACTCCTTTTTTTCTGAATTTTCTGATGTATGTGCAGGCTGACAACTATGAAGAAGTGTTTTCTCACATGAAACCAAATAGTATTCTTGGTCTTTCGCATGGATTCCTTCTCGGCCATTTGCAGTCAATGGGCCTTGACTTTCCCAAGAACATTAGCGTGATTGCTGTATGTCCCAAGGGTATGGGCCCATCAGTCAGGAGATTATATGTGCAAGGAAAAGAAATCAATGGTGCTGGAATCAATGCAAGTTTTGCAGTTCACCAGGTCTTCCGTGGCCCTTTATAGTTCACCCTCTTCTATTTTCCCTCTAACTCTTGGCTTTTATGTTCTATGAGATGTAATGCCTTTCACTATGTACAGGATATTGATGGAAGGGCCACAGATGTTGCTCTTGGGTGGTCAGTTGCCCTTGGTTCCCCCTTCACATTTGCTACTACCCTAGAACAGGAATACAGAAGTGATATATTTGGAGAGCGAGGTTAGCATGTTTCCGAAGTCTGGTTTTTTCACTTGCTAAACCAGTATTGTTGAGGTTCACTGGTTTTCTTGTTAGGCATATTACTTGGTGCTGTCCATGGCATTGTTGAGTCATTGTTCAGAAGGTACACCGAAAATGGAATGAGTGAAGAGCTTGCATACAAGAATACTGTTGAGTGCATAACTGGAAACATTTCTAGGACCATATCAACAAAGGTAAAACTTAACTGTTCAATCTTTTGATTTGATGTATCATGTTTAGCAAGATGCTTTTGTAGCTTCTCAAATTGTTCTGAAAGTGTTATACGTGTACTATACATCTTTTCTAGGGTATGTTAGCTCTATACAATTCATTTACTGGGGATGAAAAGCGGGAGTTTGCGATTGCATATAGTGCTTCATACTACCCCTGCATGGAGATCTTGTATGAGTGCTATGAAGATGTTGCAACAGGTAGTGAGATCAGGAGTGTTGTCTTGGCAGGCCGCCGCTTTTCTGTAAGTTGATTCTTCATCTTTAGTTTCATAACTGTTGGTCTCCCTCACACACACACACACACGCCCCC